AACCCACTTGCGATGCCCTCCGCCTAATAGCGATGGCCTCCAATCTATTTTCTAGCTACTGTAGTAGCGATGGCCTCCACCCTACTTGCGATGGCCTCCATCCCACTATTTTCTAGCTACTCTATTACCAATGGCCTCCACCCTACTTCCGATGGCCTCCACCCTAGTAGGGATGGCCTCCACCCTACTTGCAATGGCCTCCACCCTACCTACTTGCGATGGCCACCAACCTACTTGCGATGGCCTCCACCTAGCAGCGTCCTTCCTACTAGTAGAGAGAAAGAAACGTGTCAAACGGGATTTTGTAGACCAAATGGTGATCAAAAGGACGCAAAGAGACTTGACATTCTTAGACCGGCGTCACACCGATGGATCCCACCGCAGCGAAGGGAGAGCAGAGAACGCGCTGTGCACAACTGGCCATCATGTAGCCTCCACTTGCTGCCAGTTCATCCACGCAAACCACCAAGCGGATATTGTGTTGCTGAAATCGTAAGAGTTGAGCAGCAGCAAGGCCGTAGCCAGTTACGGTGCCTACAACGGACACGACGCCCGACAGAAGCCCACATTAAAGGAAAAGACAGGTCCTGACGCTCCAAACATGTTTGTATCTACGAGTTTCTAAGGAATTGCATGTCATTACATTGCACGGATTTGCAAATGCATTGAATTGTATTCATTGTATGGTTTGCAACTGCAATCTTCAATTCTTGATTTGCCTCCAGAGCTTTTCAGCTTCAGGACAACTTCCTCCGGCTGGACTGTCGACTGCAAGATCGCAGTAACTTCCTTTCACGACAGGAAAGCTATTGGAGGCCATCGCTAGTGGGTTGGAGGCCATCGCTACTAGGGTGGAGGCCATCGCTAGTAAGTTCCGTAAAGTCTTATTTTTGCACCCAAAATGTCAAGTAACCCGGCTGTGCAACGAACACAACCCAAACGCTGCTATAGAACACAATAGAACACACCTATAAGCCTGTCTCACAAAGCCCAAAGTGAGCAGTGTAAAACTGAACTCAGGGCAACATAAAAACTCGCAGATTTCATACATCCTCTGGGGATTTGCCCCAGAGATCCCCAGAGTGCATGTTGCAAGCATGAAGTTTGACTCGGTGCAGGGCATTGGTTGAGATGATGCATTTCTGCAGAAAGTTGATGTGTTTCTGGTTGATGTTTCTGGAAAGGACTACATGTCGAGATCGCGAAATATGCCAATTCGGTCGCTGACGCCTAGGTGGGGCGGTGCCTGGGACACCGAAGGTCGAAATGGCTCACGGCAGTTGGGTTGCGAGTCAGTGTGGTGTGACCTGATCTGCGCAAAGTTCAGCGCATCGCCGTTCCATTGGGTCTGTCGAGCTAGCTTGCTATACGGAGACGCGCTCCATGCCGCCGACCTCTTTTCTAGCATCACTAGGGATGATGTGGTTTCGTCAAAAAAACTCAAAATCAGTGGGAAAAGGATCAAACATAGCGACTGTAAAGCTTATAGCTTCAAAACCTCTAGAAAACAAAACATTGAAAATGGAGACAAATGTTGAGGAGAAATTTTGGCCGAGCATCATTAGCATCAGCAGAGTCTCAGCAGGAAAGATATAAATCCTTTGGTGCGTGAATAAGTGCAAAACACTATAAATTACAATGTGTTTGCAAAATGTATGTAGTTGATGAACAATGCTGCTGGTACTCTGGTGCTTTTGATTTTTTACGAAAATACATATGTCCTGGTGATGTTCAAAATGTCGGTTTGCGGCCGACATTTCGAGCACCAGGACGTATGTATTTTCATCAAAAAAACATCAAAAACATATGAAAATGATCAAAGTTGGCTAGTGTAAAGCTTTATCTCTAGAGAACAAAGAGTGCAAAGGGGAGAGGAAGTTTTGAGTGAGCATTTGTGGCGAGCGCCATTGGCATCACCAGAGTACGAGCAGCATTGCTCATCAACTACATACACTCTGCAAAAACATTGTCACTTAGCATGTTTTGCGCCTAGTCGTGCAAAGATTTGCATCTTTCCTGCTGAGACTGGGCTTACATGGCTTCTTCAAATAGGGTGGGCCCCCACCCGCGCCCGTGCGCGCGCGCGCGAGCGCAATTCCGTGCGTAATTGCGATTGCGTGTGCGTTCGTGTGCGTGCGGGTGGGTGTGCGGGTGGGTGTGCGGGTGGGTGTGCGGGTGTGCATGTGCATACGTGTGTCTGAAGCTGAGGTTGCCTGGCTTTTCCATCAGACGTAAGAAGCTGCGCTAATCGTCGCATTTTGCTGTGCAAGGAGCCTCTGGATACGCGCAGTCCCCCGAAGGGACATCGCCGGTTGGTGAAGCCTGTCAGTATTGGTAACCTTTTCAGTGTCAGGGATTTCTGACAGGCGACCCTCCAAAAATTTTGAATGAACACCTCGTTGATCCTAGTCGCAACAACACTGAGCCTTTCCCTTGTGGGCGGTTGCTTTTCAGCATGTGATCTAATCAATGTACTCGCTCCAACAGTGGATCGAGGGGCCTGAGGTCGCTTGGAATCTAGCTCATCGCAGTTGGACGCATCTCTCTCTCTCTCTTTCGCTCTCGTCTCGCCTGTTGCAAAAGGCTAGCGCCAGCAGCTGTAGGGTCTCCGTCGAAGGAGAGAACATAAACAGTTTTGGGAGTCTGAGCAGACTGAGACTGAGCCGAATGAGCGTCGTCCACATCCAGGTCCGTCAACCAAGAGATGTCCACGTTCGCAAGAACCTTCTGCAGATTTGCAAACTTCTTCACGTCTGGCAGAGCCTTCCTGATATTGGCGATTAGCTCTTCTTGCAAGCGAACTTTTTTCTGCAAGCTGGATGTCACTACATATCCATTGAACATTGAGCCAAACCAAGAGCTTCGCAAATTGGACGAGAGCCACTCAGAACGAGCTGGTCTGAATTCCCTTTGGCGTTGCTGTTCTTCTTTCAAATACTTTAGGACCGCTTCCTCCACTTTGTTTCTCTCAGAGTCGCTCATCACGATGTCATTCAAGACCTGCTGCCACAGAAAAGTGAATCTTTTCCGGCGCTGACGGTCCCGCAGCTCTTGCCCAACTGCAGGGCCAATTGCCTGCTCAGCCAACGCAGCCTTGGAAAGAGCACTTAGACTCTGAGAGAGTTTTAATCATTCTGTCTCTGCCATTGTGAATCTAAATAAACATCTCCAAAATATCCAAAACATTATATATATATATAGCTTTAACTGTGTTCTTTCTTTTTCTCTCATAATGTATTTTCTTCTCTCTTTTTCTTCGTGTCCTGAAAGGCTGTGACTTCATCGTTCAATCGCACCACTTTGAGGCGTCGCTCTTCCAACACATCGCCAGGTTCACCACCCAAGCGCTTCAAAGCCTGGCTTTTCGACACACCGAAGCAAGGAAACATGCTTCGTGAAGAAAGACGTCTTGAATGGTGAATAGTTTTCACGCGAAGTCAGACAAGTGCCTCGCTAGTAGTAACAAGTGCCACGCTAGTAGTAACAGGTGCCTTACTAGTAGAAACAAGAAGCTATTAGAAACAATAAGCTACTAGTAACAAGTGCCACGCTAGTAGTAACAGGTGCCTTACTAGTAGTAACAAGAAGCTACTGATTTTCGTATCCAAAAGGCTGACGGCCGGGCCGTCTTTTACGAATCGGTAGAGCTACTGTAGTATATGCACGTCAGTACCAGGAAGAGGTAACACGGACAAGACAGCACACCGTTAGTGACCTTTGACATATGTTTTGTGTTATTCTTTTGTGACAACTGTGGTAAGCCTTCACTGGCGTTCATGTTTGGAAGTACAGACCAAAGCAAAAACAGCGCGACGTCGCTTCTGATATTCTGTTTTGGGCTTCGTCTTTTCACTCCCGTTTTCTCTCCCGTCCTTTTCAAGAAGACCTTCTTTGCTGACCTCCTGAACCACAAATAGACCTCCAACCGCCGCCAAGAGGAACTTCAAGATTGCAAAAACGCCTGAAAGAAGAAAGAGTCCTGGCGGACAACGTCTCTCGAACGGCTAAACATTGGTCCCGCTTCTACTGAAAGTAGGCGCCTACTCTATGTAAGGGAGAAGTAAGCTACTGGCATCTGGCAATAGGAAGCTACATATGGACGCAGGATAGGCTCACACTCCTTGAAGAAGCGCTCGCACTATTCATAGAATGTTTGGAAAATCGCCCACAAATAGCCCACAAAACAACTGTCTATTTATGTCTATTTCTCCATCCCAGTCCTGCCCCAACAAAAGCAACTGATCCCATTGAAAAGTCACCATCACCGGCTCCGGCAGCTCCAGTTGCTTGGTTCATCATGTCGGACATCCAGTCTCCGATGTTGGACAATGAGTTCGACGCGTCGATGTCTGACTGACTTCCACTTGTCGCAATTGCTGGTGCTGGTAAGGCGGGTAACGTGAAGAACCATATGGGCCATTTCACCTCATTCGACAATACCATAAAAAAAACCTTTTTATAGGAGAGTAGCTACTTCAAATAGCTGTTACACTTGAATCATCAAAACAACAAAACCATACATCAAATATGCGCTCAAAACTATGGTGCGCCTCGCCCTTCTCGATGTGCCTCTGCCGTGGCGTCAAGAATGTGTCGGTGACGGCCACAGTCACCAGCAGGAGCAAAATGGCGGATGCGCGGCAACGAATGAGGCCGTGCCGTGTGAAACCGACAAAACGGCCACGGCCGCCACGGCCGCCACGGCCGCCACGGCCATCGTCTTCCCCCAAACTATGGTACCGTTCTCGTACCCATCTTCCCGCCATCCCTCTGAGCCAAAGACTTTGCGGTTTTGAACAACGTAAATCGTTGAAAAGCATCTCTGAAACTGTCTAAAGCGACATGGTACGCTGGTACCGTACCAACTGATTCATTGCGCCTGTAGCTTTGTGGCCCAGGACTGCGAGTTGCACCTAGAATCGCAACAAGTTGTCTCAAGGAATTGGAAATTTGATGTCCTCCCTGTCTGTGTTGTAAATCTTCTATTCAGTTCTCTTTTCTTCCGCTTTTTGTTAGTTGAATTCATCTGTATCTTCTCGTTTTGTTCACCTTGAGGTGGACTTTGCCCGAATCTCTTGGCCATGCTGATGGTGCCTAGCTCGACCAGATCGACGTTGACAGGCAATGATTTTCGCGTTCAAAAGTTGACCGCTTTTCTATCATATGAGTTCTATATAAATTCTATGTATTATGTATGTGTCTTCTTTCGGCATCGAATCGTGTGCTATAATATGTCTTTTCTTCGCCTCCGGGACATCCTTCACGGACACTCGTGTCATACCTGAAAATGGACGCCAGAAGGTGCTGCATAGTTTGTGCAACAAAAATGTGTTTCTAGGAACAAGTGCATCGCTTCTAGTAACAAGCGCCTTACTAGTAGGAACAAGAAGCTATTAGAAACAAGAAGTTATTAGGAACAAAAGCGCACAAGCGACCGGCTCCCTCAGACTTTGCAGGGATGAACTGGAAGGTATCCCCTTAGCACGAAGAATGCGACATTGTGCGACAAAAAGAACAACTACTACTCGTGCTAGAATTCACGATGGTCTCCAACCTAGAAGCGATGGCCTCCAACCTAGAAAGTGATGGCCTCCAACCTAGAAAGCGATGGCCTCCAACCTAGAAAGCGATGGCCTCCAACCTAGAAAGTGATGGCCTTCAACCTACAAAGCCATGGCCTCCAACCTAGAAAGTGATGGCCTTCAACCTACAAAGCCATGGCCTCCAACCTAGAAAGCGATGGCCTTCAACCTAGAAAGCCATGGCCTCCAACCTAGAAAGCGATGGCCTCCAACCTAGAAAGCGATG